TTTAGTATCTCTATTTATTTAATTAGTATAGTTACTCGTGTCATGCGATGCACAAGAATATTTGAAAATTATCAATATAAAATAAACACATTAAATTAAATATCAATTAATAATGTTCACAATTTAAAATTATATTACATACTTATATTGTAACTAATTAAGTCGTATTGATTTAATGTTCCATTGCACTGTAAATTACACAGATAAATATGAATACTATATATGTATGATTTATATTTTTTTGAATTATAGGCATTATGCTAAAATTTATAATAATTACTTAAAAGATATAAACATTCTTTTACCGTTAGTATTGACTTTACATGAGAAATAAAGGAATCTACTTTTTTTCGAATTATAGGAAAACGATTCGTTCTCAAATTCACTTATTGAGTAAAAAAAATCATTAATTATCAAGAGATAAAATTTGTTAGTATTAAAAATTAGTTAAAAATTTCAGTTTATTAATTGATTATCAATGACAAAAATTTAATTGAAAAAACGTTCATTAATAAATTTTACCGGTGAATAATTTTTTTTAATTACTAAATATAGAAAATTCTATTAATAATTATTATCGATTCAAAATTGTTGATAATCATTAATAATTATTGACAAATTCTAGTTATTGATGAAATTTATTAATAATTATCACGGATTAGATATTAAGTTCACGTTTTTTTATAAAATTCACGCTTTATTTTTTTAAGATGATGTATTGAGTTCGTTTATTCTTACTTTTCTAAATATTTTAAGAATCTAGTTTCAAAATATTGAGTTCGATATACTATTATTTATCAATATCATTCAAGTGATTTCATAAACCTTTAAATATATTCATTATATTTAATCTATTAAGCAAAGTCATACTTAATTTAAATATAAATAATTCATTTAACTGATTTGATAACAAATTTTTCTAAGCAAAATAATGTTTTTTACCCTTATTATTACATTTAGTCAAATATTTCTAAGACACATTTTTACGAAACTCATTCGATATAATTGATTATTACTACAAATAATTTCTGAAAAAAAACCAAATAATTGATTATTTAATTAAGAAAGTTAATTATTTTTTAGATAATTTATTATTTGTTCTTTCATGGCTTAAAATAAATCTAAAAAATAAAAGAAAGTTATAATTATAATATAATTAATTCTTTTGTTCCTCATGTTGTTGACCGATATTTTTCTCTAAAAAATTCACAAAAGTATACTCAAAGATAAATCAGGTAACATTAATAGAGTGCACATAATGTACTATATGAATTGAATGAAACATGTTTTGATATTATAAATAATAATTAGGACTACACATGTCTGTAATTTGTAAAGCAGAAAGATAATATATAATGTGCTTGATTAGAGTTAAAAATATCAATTTTAGGGTGCTATATAGGTGATAATTTTATTAAAAAAATTCTGTGATAACTTATTTTATATATATATATATATTCTTAATGAGTATGTGCAATCAGACATTAGTTAATATTAGTCAATATATAGGATATTAGAGGAAAATGAATACAAGGAAGAAATAGTTGTGCTTATTAGTAAAGAAAGCCTCTAGATAAATCCATAAGAAGCATCGCTGCCTGAGCTACTTCATCCATTGGAGACTCTTGCTTCAAAGCTGAATCATCCCTTAAACTTACAGAAAAATCTTTCAAATGAATCCTCACTTTCTGCTCCTCAGATAATGTTCCTCTATCAGTCTTGAACTTATTCTTGAACCCTGCAAAATGGTTTCTACGACACTTCTTTTCCTTCTGATGACGAACTCTAGACTTTGCATCCATGCAACTATTCGCAGCTTCTGCCATTGCCCTTCTTGCCTTCCTCTGCCGAATGCCACAGGCATTGCAAAGTGACTACACACCAAGATGTTGTTACTTTTTAATCTATTTCTTAATTAATTTTCACAAAACTTCAAAGCATCAGATGTATAAGAAGTAAGGGAAAACTACCTTAGGACCATTAGGACCACTCCTCCAGAGTGGGGTACTGGTTGTGTTACAATCTGCACAAACCCTAATTATATCGAATGCTTTGTTTGTGGCTAAATTATTGCTAGGTGGGCTCATCATTTTTCTCGTCAACCTCACATTTGAAGACAACCATTTTTCATACTCGTAATTTCCTCTTCTGTTCTCTTGTTCCTCTATTTCCTCTTCTGCTAGGTGGCCACACGCGCTGCTATTTGGATCCGCCATAACCGACTTATTACGTTGAGTGGACGACGTAAATTGCTGATTATCTGATGATCCACCATGAAATACAAACTTCACATCCTAATGTGAAAGATCAAAGACTATTAATATTAGTTGCACAGTTCAGACTAAAATTGAAAGACAATGAATATTTCTGCACTGATATATGTTAGAATGGAAATTGTAGAGAGTTGAAGATGAGTGGTGATTGATAAAAATGAAAAGAATAAGATCGTGCCTCTTGATCAGCATGTCTGAAGTATCTGATATCTTTGGCCTGGCTTTGGTCTAATATGTGGAAGAAGGAGTAACATGAGAGAGTTGATTGGTGATTATCAGGAGAAATGAAGAGATGAGTTTGATCTTGTATAGTAGGAGCTGGTAGGTTCAGAGAAACAGAAGTCATGGAAGGAGGAAAGAGAGAGAAAATGAACTGCATACAAGTAAAATATTCTAAAATCGGAACCACGAGGTGCTAGGGTTCTTATACAAGGAGGCAAGGGCTAAGGACACAACAGGTATCAGCCAAGCATTCACGTGAGCAATATATATATATATATATATATATATATATATATATATATATATATATATATATATATATATATATATATATATATAAATATAAATAATTTTTTTTAATGGAAAAAAAGTAGTTTATGTGAATACAGACAGAAAGACAAAAAGAAAAAGTGAAATAAATGTATAATGATAATAAATTTAAAAACAATTGTGAAGATGAGACAAGGAAAAATAAAGCTGTAGAATGCAAGTACTTGGAACCGACAAAAACCATATCTGCGATATTTTCAGTCCCCCCTCATAGTTCAACCCCATTATATATATTTAAAAGAACTGTATATTTATTATATTTTATAATACTTTTTCTATATAGTAATTGTGCAGAATTTATGAATTTTCTTCACTTTGGAATAATGAAGAGTGAGATGAGGATTTTGCAGATCTGAAAAGATGGATAGAGATATGGATGAAAGGCAAAACTTCTTAGTGTTGCCAAAAAGAAAATCAAGTGCTACCACTGCACCCAGTCTCGTGACAGAGATAGCCTCACAGTCCCCACACCTTTTTGCTATCAACCATGCCCGCCATTGTTTTTTTCTTTTCTTTTTCATCACTTCTATCCTTTCTGAAAATAAAGTTAAGGAACTGTTTCACGATCCTGAGTAAATTTTTCTCTTAATAAATAATTCAAAAAACTGTTAAAAATCTTACATCATTTGAAAATAAAATCAAAATCCAACTAAATTTATAACATGTAAATTAAATATGTTGACAAGTCAACTTTTAAATTTATTTAATTTTACAAAATTAATTTATAAAGTGAAATTTATATTCACTTATTACTAAAAAATTTTCTTAATTAATGATCAATTTTAGTGGTTAAAAATAAATAATCATTATAGTAACTAATTTGATATTAATTTCAAACTAAAAATTATTGGTAAGTAACATAGTTTTTATCATGAATAAAATATTATAATTGATAACTAAAATAGTTTTTAGTATAATTTTGTATATAAATTGATAATTAACATTAATTCCTAAAATTTTGGTTATAAAAAAATTGATCTTTAACAAAAGTTGTCACGGTTAAGAATTTTCTTATAGTATATATACTACAAAATCACTGTCTTTATTCGATTTAAGATTTTTAACAGGTTTCCTCGTCTTGAAATATATACGTGACTAAATATTAATTCAATAATTTGATAACAATTCGATAACGAGTGAGATGATACACTCAATAAATAATAAATTTTTTAATAAATTCTAAATCATAACTATTTTATTATATGTAAAAATGAACTTTAAATTTAGTTCAATAATAATTTTGAAAAAGTTAAATAGATTTAAACTCATTTTTCTAACGATGCATATTTTATTATTAAAATAACATATATGTATCCGTGCATAATAGGATATGAATGACATTGTGTCTTGAAGAGAAAAGAAGATGAGATAGTGTCTGTGATGGAGGCTATTTGTCTGAATATAGATGTGTGATAGTACAAATGGTAGAGTCAAAAATTTAGAGGGGCCATGGACCACGGTGGTATTCGGCTAAATGACACTACAATCGGTGGCCGATTTCATCTTTCCTCATCTGCTTTTCTGACGGAAATCGAGTCATTTGTCTTTAAGCTACAACCGCTCTAATGGAAAGTAAACGCGGTAAGATTTTCTTATGGCAAGTGGCGTTGTGTTAGAAAAATTCCTCCAAGCAAGTTTACAATTATTTATGATTTAACAGAAACACGACAATTGATGCCTAGGATTTTAAAAAGTTGGGAGAGAATGAACTAAATAAAATAAAAATTGAAGCAAAATTCAGGTTAATTAATGTGTTTTTAGAGATAATATTCTGTTAAAAGAATTTTAAAATGACTGTTTAAAGATAACATGTAATTAAACTAGTATCGACCGATACAAAGTCGTTCTGAAAGGGCAAGTTAATCTAATTAATTGATATCAAACTCCTCCGTCTGGGCCTGTAATGAAGAAAAAACACATGCACTTTAAAAATTTAAACCTTGGCAATCAATTGTTAAAAAATGTTTTTAATTTATTGTTGTACACGATTTTTTACTTTCAATATTTTTTTAAATTATAAAACATGACTTTGATATATTAATTCCAATTTTTGAATTAATTTAGCTTCTGTAAGTTGTAACATCCCAAAAATACAGTATAAACTATATGATAGAATAATTACAATTAATCATAATTCAGATTAGTCTTAAAATTTACAAGAGCATACGGTTCTTGGCCGAACGGCCTTTACAAAAGAGTTACTCACTTAAACTATGCAGAATCAGCAAACATGACCGAACGATTTACAAAAGGAATTATCGAGCGGCCAAATAAACTCAAAAGGAAAGGTGACCACCTTACACTCAAACTAAACTACTGACCGAACGTCCTATTGTTCGGTCTTTACTTCTACTTCTACCAAATTTTCTTCTTCCAGCGCCTCTTTCAGCAGCTCGTCTCCTTTTGCTCACATCCACACGGATAATCATTGCAACGACAAGGACGGACGTACAAAACCAGACAACACAGGAAATACAGGGTAAGCTTATGTAATTTAATTCAAGTATACACATACATTTCGCATATTCAAACACATCAAATACATTTCAACATTCGTTTCAAGCAAGGCCTACTACTAGACTGACTGTCCGGACTGTATGAAATCTGTGTAGCTACGACGTTCGTGCACCCAGGTGATGTAGTAACTGGAATACTCTCATCAGCTGCCACCCGAGGTTAGTCCTATCTGTCTAAAGTACCCCTAAGGACTAGGACCTCATGCCGTTCCCACACATGACCTACCCTCCTCTACGTGAGGACGAGTACTCACGGAACATCAGGATGAACCGCCACCTAAGCATTACCACTTTCATACTTTACCATTTCAATATTCATTCATGAGTCGTTCCTCCCCGGAACGCTCGTTCAACATTCACAACATTTCATCCAACTCTTATACTCTTCATCTTTTATTATCCATCATTTTAATTTCATCTTTATCACCAATTCCAAGAACATCAAATACCGAACGTTCAGTCCTCACTCGGAACGAGGATGAACACTAGGAACGAGACTGAGAAGTATCCCGTTCTAGAATAGAATAAGACCGAGAGGGTTATTGTTAGATGTAGGAATAAACCAAATACAATTATATAATATATGACGAACGTTACTTGCAACATGAATCAGTTAAATGAACCGACTCTCGTGAGCTCGAACCAATACTCAAATAAAATATCAAGTAAGGAGGCTTTAGGCCGAATACAATGAATGTAGACACGTCAAGACGTTAAAGAACCATACTTAGAATAATTCATATACAGAAACCCAATGCCAGTCAATGACCGAACATGGTAAAAGGAAATTCTACTGAAGTTGGACGAACGCTATTTCATCAAGATTGATCAATTATAAACTAGTACAGGCGCTTGGTATAAGACCGAGCACCACTCATTACGAGTGCTTGGTGTGAGACCGAGCACTAATTAAACTTATAATAGGAACATTAATAACAATAAATATAATAAGATACGATGGAGATAGTGTTTAAGAATAACTAAATATACAAATACATATATTTACAATAATAAAGTTTATCACTGAATACTCAGATGCAACTACGCTTGACCGAACGCTCAAGCACAGTATTATCACAAGAAGACGCTCGTCCTCAACTAGGATTCTTTCCAAATGAAAGAATCAAGTTTCAAACAAGATTACTAGAAACACCGAACGGTCAAGGACCGTTCAATGACGAACGTACATTATCATAGGGAAAGTTCATATTCAGAATTCATTTACATTCAAACTCATTTCTCAGCATATAACTTCATAATTTTATACATTCATGTCATAGTACATTTCATATTCCTCATACATCAGCTCATAATAGTTATCATATACCAAATAATCCAATATCACAAAAATCATGCTTCATGCAACTCAAAGAACGTCCATGCAGCACAGTAAAATATACAAATTAAATTAAATAAGCTTCCCTTACCTTTGAGCGTGAACGAACGTTCCAAGAGGCAGAAATGGGATTCGCCTGACTAAACTTCTTCTACCCTCACGCTCAACAATCCTTTAAACTAAATCAACCAACAGACCAACTATTTCAGAATAAAACTATGGACTCATGTAACCAGAAGTTGGTTTTGCATGTGTCAGGGAACGAACGACTAAAGGAGGATAAGAACTTACCAGTTCAGACTCAAAACCGATCGGTTCAAACTGAAGCTTAGGACGCCGGAAACACTTCTACGGTGCCTGAATAGTGATTGGAGAAGAGAAAAGGTAAGGTTTCTTAGAGAGAAGGGAGAACTTTTAGTGAGAAGGAGGAGAAGATGAGAAGTTCAGAGTTTTGGGAAGAAGGGTGCATGCAGAAGAGAGTGGGACGGAGGTTTTCAGAAAAATCATTTTCTTCCCACGTCAAAACGAGCGTCCGCTCATCTGCCGACACCTGCCTTCCACTATCTGATTTCTGATCCTCATTGCTTGACACCTGACGTCCGTGCAGAGAGATTTTTTGGTGCGTTTTAATGATTCAGACAGGAGGAATTTTTGGTGCGTTTATTGAGATCTGACATAAGTGTTGATTAATGTGGTGTTAGACCCACAGTAAGTTCAATACTGATTGGGCCAATTATTGGATTTAGTTTAAAGAATTTTTATGCTATGTAATGCGTTAAAGGAGTTGTGTGGTATTAGGTTAAATTCCATGGAGATCTAGATTGGTAAAATATTGATCTGATAGGCGTTTATAAGGGGTTATACATAAGAGATAATGAGTTGGATAGTAGAGAAGAGACTTTAAAGATATGTAATGGAATTAAATAAGACGTTGGAAAATAATAAAGACAGAAAAGGAGATTAGAAATTAGGAAAAAACAATGATAAAAGGTAAGGTTGGGCA